CCTTCGAGCGGTATTTTGTAATGTATATAATCACCATGGATCAAGATCAGAAATATAGAGAATTCTACTAAAATTGTCTTGTTGGTCCATTGATTATTTTATATCTTACCATCGAAACAACATTTGCTTATCAAATCTCTTCCCCTCAAGCTTTATATCACAATGCTTTCAGTTCACACTTTAGTAAATTTGATATCATGCATAAGTAAATTTGATTGAAAGTTTATATGATATCATGCATGTATGTATGTGATTGTTGGTTAGTTAGACTCTTCTATGACACAACAATTTAGAAAAAAAATTACTTTTAATCTTAACATCAATAGGTGAGACTTAGACTATTCATCTTAACACCATGGTTTTCTTTACAAATATAAGCAAATCGATAGACATGAGAGAAAATGCAATATATTTAGCACAGAAAAGAAAATCAACAATCTTCTCCCCTCAGAAAGAAAAAAAGTATTATTCCTTGCTTGAACATAGCTTATAGCTTATCTAGTTGAGCATATATCATCACCAGTTACATCACAGATAAAATGTAAAAAGAACAAAAAACAATATATAATACTTGCATTACAAATACAATTTAATGTAATCTCATTCGTTATATATTAAATAGATTAATTACAGCATGCACTCATTTTACTGACATAAAAATAAAATAATATAATGAACATGGATTTATACGTAGCATGCATGATATTAACTTTTTTATTCTCTCCCTATCTATATATATAAATTTACACATAATTAGGTGAAGAAGTAAAAATGGTGAAATGGACAATGAAAAAGATTTTGGGATTAAGAGAGATTGAAGGAAAATTGTTGTTGAGAGAAGAAGAATTACAAATCCAATACAATATATTCAGATGGTGGCCCACAAATAAAGTTTTGCAAGTGTTGACAGACTTTGAAAATGGAGTAAACATCACTTTGTTTGACCAAAAGAGGAGAGAAAAAATTGAGACAAATATGAAATGGGTGCCTGCTGATTCCGGGTTCCATATTCAATGGGACATTGAAGGAAAATGGTATGAAGGTGGAGATGAGATTAAGATGTATTGGGATTATCTCAACGATCAATTGTGTTACCTTGTAGTGTATAGCAATATTAATCTAAAAAAGTGGACGATGAGAAAGATGTTGGAACTACGGGATATAAATGAAGGAACGTTGTTGCTGAAAGAAGGAGAAGTAGATATTCAAAAGAAACTATTCGACTGCTGGCCTGAAAGCAAAATTAGAAAGGCGAGGACCGACATAGAGAATGGAGTGAACATAACTTTGTTCGATGTAAGAAAATCGAGAAAAATGGAAACAAGTGTGAAATGGGTGGGATGTGACGGTGGATTCCATGTTAAATGGGACACCAATGGCAAAGGGTATAGGGTTGGAGATAGTATTTTTATGTATTGGGACAGAAAAACTAGAGAATTGTGCTATGAGGTCCTTAAATGAAGCATAATTATAGAGCAGAACCAAAATGGGGATTAGGATATTACTTATGAATTCATTGGATAGACATGGGTTATTGTTGTTATGATGGAAACTTTGTAATAACCATAATAATTGCATTAAGATATTAACTTATAGTTTTCATTCAAAAAATATATATAGATAGGACCGTTTACATTGCAACAAATCTTGGATTGAATGATGACAGTTATAAACGATAAAAAGTGTTGGAAAAAAAATCATAAATGGTTTTAGGTGCATTTTTTGCCGAAAACAACACTATATTTCAGATTTCTAAAAAATTTATGTCAATTAAAAATTGTCTCGAAATTTTAAAAAAAAATTATTGATTCAATGATAGTTAAAATTGTCATGGTGGAAATGCGATTTTGACGAGAAAAAATGGAGATTTATAAAGTTTTCTATTATTTATGACATTTTTAATTGTCACAAAAAATTAATAAATATTATGATTCAATATTGAGAGCTAAAGAATGTAATGAACGGTCAAATGTGGGTTTTTTTTGCAGGAAAGCATGAAATTTTTTCAGATTTTCGTATTTATGATAATTTTAAAACGTCTACTAACACTTAGTTTCAGGAATTAAATAACAAGAAAAAAATTAACAAATGGTTTCAGAGTGTTCAAACATATATATTTCAACGACGAAAAAGTCACAAATTAGAATTTCATCGACAAAAAAGTCACAAATTAGAATTCTTACGCCACATATTATTGTATTAAAAAAGGTCATATGTTTGGACATGCTTTTTGGGAGAATAAAATAAAGGTTTACAAATATGTCACTGTGGTCAACTATATATTATGTCATCGTCAACTCAATATAAACTTTCTGGAAGAAGTCTATGACGTGGTAATTAACTTGGTGACATGGCTTCACCGTGTTTAACTACCACCAACAAAAAAAAAAATTTATAACATAAAATATTTAAGTTTCAATTGCATATCATATGTCTTTTTCCCTAAAAAAGAAAAAAGAAATACAAATCAAAATTTTCATTTCATAAATGAACAGTTACCCAAGATCAGTACAAGCATATTACAATTAATCTAAAAATTAGAACACATACTAAATTACGAACTCAGACATTTTCCCAAACTAAAAAAAAAAATAAACCATTAGAAACTTTAAAAATAAATTAGTAAAAGCTTTCAACCACCGTTTGCTACATTTCCCAAACTAAAAGTAAATGATAATTTCATTTTATTTACAAGATCACAAGCTTCAGGGCATACACCCCACTATTCAAGATTATAGTTATTAACTAAACATCAAATTCCCTAACAAAAACTATACAATAGATGGTTTATTTTTCATTTCTTTTGACTCTTTTAATGTGAAACCATCAAAACATGAAAAATCGTGTTGAATACATAAATTTTTTGTTCTAATGAATGTAAAACATTCAACCCAATACTTAACTTTCCCAAGAATACGTAAGAGTGTACAATGTTCTAGACTCAATCAATCGTATTGGTACGAAACAAAACATTTCATGTGCCCTTGGGAATAATTTCTAGTACTAAGAAATATACATATTTTAACTTTATACCACTGAGAATAGTTCTCATTACAAGAAAAAGAAGAAGTACTAGAAAAAAATTAAATTCGATAGTTCTCGAAAGGCTCCACGGGTACGATTGTGAAAACTCATGCTGGGGAGGAACAAGGTTGGTATTTTATTTGGTTCAAACCAACCAAGTTGGTCAATGTAATTTCCAATTATGTCACCTCCAATAGTTGTAAGAATTGCCGTGCCTGTTGCATCAACAATACATTTGCCAATGGTATTGATATATCCAACACAGTTGTTTTGTCTCCCAATGTAAGCTTTAATCGCACCAAGTAATGCAATGCATAAAACAGCAGCTATTGTAACTGTTGGGATCTTGAGATTTTTGTCCTCAGGGTTGCGAAACGTGAAGCCATAAACAAGAGGAGGTACCAAGCCAAAAGATACGAATGATAACATAGCCGTTGTGAAATGGAGACGATAATTTTTTCGATCTCCAAATAATTCTTCATACTGTTCATCATTTTCGTCATTTGATTCATGCGATCCAGTTTGTTGCTTGTTCATCCAAAGATCTGATATCTATAAATTTGCTCAATACATTGGTAACAATAACTATAATGAGAAGTATGTAAATGTTGTTTTGAACGTTTCAATTTTACTTGAAGCTCCTACTCAATAAGATCATATAAATTGAACAATAAAATGGCTTGGAAAATGACATTTGAAAGTCAAATAATCGCATAAAATGTGGTAAAGTTAATTGCTATGCTATCTTTGTAGATTTCTAAATATGGATTAGTGATATATGTAAGTGCATACTTAAAAGCTCAAACTACTAATTATAAATTAAAATACTATTTTGGTCCCTATAGTTTAATCTAGGTTTATTTTAATTCCTATGCTTTGGAAATATTCATTTTAGTCCCTATATTTGAACTTTAGTTTATTTTTGTCCTTGTACTTTGAAAATGTTCATTTTCATCTCTATACTTCTAAAAAGTGATCATTTAATCCCTCCTTGCAAAATTTTAACACAGATTTTACACCTAACAAAAACTCTTTAGTATAAAGTAATGTTTACATCTTAAAAAATACATTGAACGTAATGTTGGGTTGAATAGAAAAAATGATATTAAAAAAATAATAAATAGACCAAAATGGTCACTTTTTAAAAGTACAAAGACCAAAATGAACATTTTCAGTACAAGAACTAAAATGAACCAAAATTAAAAGACGTGGACCAAGCTAGTATTTCAACCCTATTTATTTCATAGGCTTGAAGGGAATGCAATTACTTACTTTATAAGTCATGACAAACAATCCAGTAATCAGGCTTGCCAGTGAAAGAGCTACAACTTTTCCTGCATTATGAAAACAAAGGCGTAAATTTAAAAGCACATAAGAGATGAGAGGAAAATTTAAATAAAATTACCAGTAGTAGTTTTGGTACTTGCTGCAGATGTTACAACCCCTAAGCTTGCAATCAATTCAGTTAAGCCACCATATAATATGCTCTTCACAATTTCTATCTTTATAATAGTTCCACTTGGTTCTACAGCTGCAAGTAATTGGGTTGCAGAAGTAACAAGCACTTCTCCTTGAGGGGCAGTGGGAGAAGAATTAACTTCATTTTGAACTGTCTCAATTTCTGTAATAGTTCCACCATCTTGCTTGTTATCTTCATTTTGGTTTGTTCCTATTTCTTTTGGTTTATTTTTAGGGACAATATCTTGAGTTGATTTCTTACTGCTACTTTCTTGATTGAAACCTGTAAAGAATATAGGACTCTTTAGATAACCATTATCCTTTTAACTTTATAAAACTAAAAATTAAATCACTGTCAACTAGGCCATAAATTTAGAGGTAATTACGTATCAAATATAGTACGAGCTACAAAAATTGTAAATATAGAACAATTTCAAGCCTACCAAGAATAGAAGTGTGTGAAAAACCAAAAAACTCCATCAACATATCTCATCATCTGATATACAATATCAATAAAATGAAAATGGTATATCAAGTGCAACGCTCCCAAAGCCTTGACAAGTTGGAATGCAGCAGACCTCATTTATGTCAACCATCAAGCCAACCAAGTCTAATTAGTCCAACTTATAGACAATATATGAAGGTATAATTAATCCATTGAAAACCAACTTGTTTCATTCAGCATAAACTACCAAAATACCATAAAACGACTCGAATCGACAAATGAATCGTGTGGAATTGTTTAAGTAACCAACTTCCCATGATTAACACTCCCAAGTTCTTAGTATCATTCAACATGGATATATTCGACTAGTTTTTATTGAAGGAGTAATTCATTCTTCAAAATATTATTACTCCAACAACACTACAGTTACCTTTAATCTTATATTCACTCTATTTTTCTATACTTCCCCATGCTCTAAGCCAACATGACATTGGTGTCCTCTAACTTCATACTCTTCTTCTATCCAGACTTCCAAGTAGAGATGGTATAATGATAGTGATTTTTCAACATCCACATCAAGTATCTTTCCATATATTGAAGATTATTGAAGCTTTGGTGCTAAAAAGAGTGACCTATTTTGTTATTTTTCATAATATTCTCTATATATCTCTTTTTCATTTTTGTATATGAACCGAAGTTATCTCCATCGATAACAAGCAATTGCTAATAGCAAATTTGATAACATTCCCTAACTTTTGTTATGCTTCATAAAAACCTGATTCTAACTTAAGCATTGGAGTATGTGTGGCTAGCACCACGCTGGTGTGTAACCTTTCTATCTTTGCAGGTTTCATCGAATCCATTTTTCTAAAAGAGTGGTGCGAATTTGGTAACTCAGTTGAGCCAAATTCATGAATCAATATTTGGTATCATCTATGGAAAGCAATGCTCAATCTAACTTACACACCAATCTCAATTCAACAAGAGTAAAAGCGTGGGCAAACCTCATCAAAACTCAGAAGAAGAAAACAATTTGGATTGTGATCAACATCCTAAGAGAGTGGCAACCTAGGGTTAGACAATTCAACAACCATAGGTGCTCTCTCAATGGAACCAAGCCGACCCGCCCCAAAGCAAAGTAAGAAGAATAATAAGTTCACTTTCCTAGAGAACATGGTAGAAGGGATGAATCAGAATCTGACTTTACTATTGGACATCGTGAATCGCCAAAATTCGTCGGTGTGCAGTCTCAGCCAACCCTGAGTTGAGCAAGACCCACCATCACTATTTTGCGATCTTGCTTAGGAAAGGCCTTAGCAATCGAAGAGATTATCGAATCTTGGACCGATCTACTGAACCTTAACAATCGCAAATTGGGTGGCAACCATAAACCCCAATCTCGTGGAGGCGTATTCGAGTGACTAAGTCTAAGAGATAGCAAGCAACATCAGTTTCGAACAATCACATACAGAAAAACTAGGACTCGCACTCGAGATCCAACTGTCACCCATCAACGATGAATATAGCAGGGGAGAAAGACTATCGAGACTTGTGGGACATACTAAGCGCCATGCATAGCGAATTCCCTACCGAAGATAAGAAGGAGGTGCAGAGCAAATCCTAGTCTAAGGAGGTCCAAGAGTGCCTCTAAGCTCAACAATTCCCTCGTGTGTTGAGAAATCTAGCCATTAAATCCTGACCATTAAATCCTGATTCACATACAAGCCATAGGAAAACCTGACAAGCCAACCTAGACCAAATGATGCACATAGGTATGAAATGGTGCAAAAGGTCGAGCCCCCTAGCATAATGTGCATGAGCCACACAAGTAAATACTAGAGATGCAAATCAATGGATCAAGTCACGAAGAACTGAGCCCCCTTAATAGGATCTTGAGGACTAAGGCCAAGACCCATAGATAGGATCGACCCGAGGGATAAGGCTCATGGACCGACCAGCCTAATGGGTGCCTCTAAGCTCGACAATCCTCTCGTGTACTAGGGAATCAAGCCATCAAATTTAAGATCATGGGATCTAAGGAATAAGATAACCGAGGAATATGAGGTTTTTCCTTTGTATAAATAGGGAAAGAGATTTCATAATCAAGGTACGCTACAAACCCCGACTTTTGATGTGTTTCATACAAGCCAAATTCTAACTTAAACATCAAAGTGTGTGTGGCTAGCAGTTAGCACCACACCGATACGTAACCTTTCTATTTTTGTAGGTTTTATCCGATCCCATTTTTCTAAAAGGGTTGTGCAAATTTGATAATTCAACCGAGCCAAATTTACGTGTCAATATAACTAATGTAAAACTTGTATTTCTTATTTTTATTCATTGAAAAAAATTTGTAGGGTATAACTCAAACATTTTCATCCATTATATAGGTTGAAAGAGTGATGCAATCGTTAAAAAATACCCATTTACTAGTCTTTTTTTTTTTTACAAAATTTATTAGACTAAACAAAGTAATGGTTATTAATATCTCCTTTTTTTTTTTTTGACAAACATAAACGATTGCTAGAAAAATATATGTTGTGAATTAAATTAACAAAGTAATGGTTATCAATATCTCTCTTTTTTTTCCTTTTTTTTCCTTTTTTTTTTCATGTGATAGTAACTTAGATGTGGATAAACTAAAATCACAACCATTTATTAACCTACATATTATTTTAACTATACTCACTATTTTGATTTTGCTATATTTGTATTTATTCTTTTATCTGCTATTTATTGTAATATTTTACATAAATTATGCTACATTTATAGCCACCATATTTTAAAAAGTAAAAAAAGAAACTGATTCTTTCAACATTGAGGCAAACAGAAAATAAACTCACCATTTTTTAGATCTGGCATACTCATGGAACATCCATTAGTGAGTCCATTTTTTCGTGGCGGCACTTTACCATTAACACCTGCAATGACACATTACACAGCATTTTACATAACTAATAAGTAAGCTAATCCACTTTACAATAATATTCATTTTTTATATATATTTCTAACTGTAATCAAGAGTTAAGGAAATTTTTAAACAAAAATTTTTCACCATCTTTGAACATTATGTAAATGAACCTACAGAGTTTTTAGTACTCCCCATGTTAAGAACGAAAAGTTGTCTCTAATGCATTTGTTAAGAATAGTACCTAAAATTTTACTTCACTCTTAAATAGACCCAAATACAATTACAAAGTAAAAAGTAATTCACCTCATATTAATCAATGCCTTAGAGCCACAACTCAAGGCTTTTAACAAACTTCAAGTGTCGATATCTATAAACCCTTTAGCTTTGTTGTTAAGACTTCAACAATACTTAGAAGTGCCTTAAATCCTTTTATTACATACTCTTTAAGTACATTAAACAACTAGATTTTAATAAAACTTTTCTCTCGAGCACTCTAACATATCATTTTCACCACCTTAACCTATGATTCTTCTTTCTAATCCTAAACAGCCTCAACATTCGCTATCAATGAAATTTGTTTCCTATCAAAAAAAAAAAAAAAGACCTCAACATTCATAAGCTTGTGAAAGCTTTGAATGGGAATCAAAATAAACTTTACAAGCTTTGTAGGATAAGCTATAAGGATAGGATACTTTAATTCAAATGTGTGGTTTCAACTCTCATAGACAACAGAGCATACACATTTTTTTCCTTATTTATATATGAAGACAACAAAACCATCTTCCTTATCATTTATATCGATGATACTATGCTAACAAGTAATAAATGTACTCTTCCCACGAGAATCGTTCGTAAAGTTTTTGTTTTCGAAGATCTTGGTTATAAGCTACACATTTTTTCTTGGAAATGAAGTTCATCAACTCTCTTAATGAACTCTTGACTACAACCTTTCATCTGATATCCTCCCTAAACTTCAAAATCTGGCCTTTATGATGTTTGAGAACTAGTTTTGTTACGTCGGGACAACTATTTTATTTTTAGTTTTATATTTTTTAAAGCTTTTTTCTCATAATTTCTTTGTTTCTTACCTTTCTTAAAAATAAATTTACCTTCTTAGCCAAATTTCAAAAACAATAACAAGTCTTTTAAAATTATAAGATAACATAACCAAAAAATACATAGGCAGAGTAGTGATAGAAGCTTAATTTTATAAAATAGAAAACTAAAACTAACTTTTTCTTTCTTTAAAATTTCTGAGCTGCTAGTGCAAGAGAAAGCTATAAAATGATTGTGTGGCTTAAAAGAGATGCTATTCGTTATGCCCACAATAAAAATTATCCAAACAGTAGGTTAAGAATCTCATGAAAGAGGACTGAAAATGAGGAAAGACAGGGTAAAGAAGATGGGCCAATTTTAGAAAGAGAGTAATATAAGAACATAACTAAAAGGATTTATAAGTAAAGATCCAGATACCATTGCTATTTCAGTATTAAACATGTGGTGCAAAATTGTCCACTTTAGCTAAATTCAAATAACTTTGCTTTTGATTTGAGCAGTGTTCTTCAGTTATATACCCATGATCTTTCTCACCTCTAGTCAAATTGGGAAATTGTTTGGTATTTCCAACACAATTAACTTAAGTGATGCAACACAATGATTCCAAAGTCTAAAAACTAAAGCATATCTCAAACATCTATGCACAAGGAAGGAACAGAATACTAACCAAACTTTATGAATTAAAAAGAGAAGAAATAGAAGAAACCCCATTGTTTAGTTTCTAAATCTAAGTAAAAGCCTGTAGAAGTTATTTTACAAAGTTCAAAAGAAAAAAGATAAAAAGTAGTAGCAGAAAGAGAACGTACAATGAGCAGTTGAAGATGAAGACGAGGGAGCGGCGAGTGCGATGGGTCCTTCAGCCATGGATCTGCCTCTGCTTTCTCTAGCTCCCGACCGACGACTTTTCAAATTACAACCCACAACTTTTTTTTTTTCATTTTTCATTTTTTTCTTTTTTGTGTCTGCAACTTGTTGTAATTATATATTTGAATATTTGGAAATATTTTCTCATCCAAGTCCTCGATACCATTTTCGCGCTCAACTTTCCAATTAATATTGCTTTCAAAACCAAAACAGACATAGCTAAGCGGTAATTGACATATAGTCTTTTTGGGTGCTTTGTCGTTGTTCTCTTGGAGTATCTGGACTTTAATAAGTATCATTTTCCTCCCAATTTTGATTCTTTTATGTTTTGTCTCCTTTCGATTATTCATTACTGTAAAATATATCTTATATATGTAAATCTTTCGAAACAAAAACTAACAATTAAGTCTAGTATTAAATCTCATGAAAGGTAGCTCTCTACACAGATTTTTCTCTCTATAATATATACTTTCGACTTTCTAATCTTTTACAAGCAAAAAATTAAAAATAGTTATAAACATGTTTATTTTTCAGTTTTTTAAAAACTAAAAGCAATTATATTTTTTTTCTAAGGACATAAAACTAAAAATAAATAAAAAAAAAAACCAAAAACAAAATATCGAACAGAAATAGTCATGAAAACAGACCATATATTATTGGTCTTCAAAAGAAATAAAAGTTAATCAAATGTGAGAGAACTTACCAACTTTCGAAATTGAAGGATATGAGAATTACTTGTAAACTTTCTTAACATTCTCTAGAAAGATATGAGAATTACTTACAAACTTTCAAAATATACTTTAAAAGGGTAAGAGAATTACTTAACTTAGAGGCTAACCAAATGGAAGAAAAAACTTCCTAAAAGAATTATATTGCTAAGCCTCTTTTCTTTAATTTCCTTGACCTTTCAACACCCCTCGTCAGAAAATGTTGGATTTGATATGCGAAATATAAAGTTATATGATCTTAGTCGTGGATCTTTTTCTTTCAAGTAAAAGGAAAGATAAATTGATCTGAGATAACACAATATAAATTCAAAACCGTTTATTCAAATAATATTAATCTTTTGTAAAAATATAAATATTTTTTTCCAAAATAATCAAATAAAATACTACAAAAATTTCAAGAGTGTTACATTAAGATAGGTAATAGATGAAACCTATGACATTTGGAATTTGGAAAAAACTTGCAAATATTGTAGGTGGAGAAAGATCTACCTAACAAAATCTTTCTTAGAAAAATTTTGTTTACCTATGAGATGAATGGCTCAAAATCATTAAATAAGAATCTCAATGAATTCAAGAAAATGACAATAGAATTCGCTCTCTTTTGCATGTAAGCTAAGCAGCAAAGGTGAAAGATAGGAGTGACATCATTATAGTGGACTTAGACATAGCAGCTATTAACCGTAAAGAACTTGAATTAAAGACAAAGATAAAAGGTAATGGACGAGCAAAGTTATTATATTCGAAAGGAATAAACGACTACTACAAAAAAGAATAAGTTTGTGAAAGGTCAGAGATACCATAGGTCCATAAGTCCAAAACATCTCTCCTAGATGCTACATATGTTACAAGATAAAGGGCATCTAAAAATAAATTTTTCTAAGAGAAGGAAAAGGATTTTGAAAAGACTAATGAGCATGAGATCATGTCTCCGTTGGGGAAGACACTTTAGATAATTTATTAGTGTTAGCAGATGTGACCCTAAAACCTTGCTCCACGATACTTAGCTATAGACGGTAAATAGAAATGGTGATTTTAACAAGGGTGAACTAGGGCAGTTGATATGTTGTTTACCTTCTATTGGTCGAACGTAGTATATTTATCATTGGAAGGATGAGGAGAGGATTGCCCTAGATTGCCAAGTGGCTAGCCTAGGTTGAAGCAAAACTTATCCTTTGAACGAGGACTTGAAGATATACTATGACCATTTTGGTGCGAGGCAAAAGTTAGCGAATACAACTATACACTTGCAAGATTGCATTCTTGAATATCCACATGGCACATAGTGTTGAGGCCATATAGTAAGGTTAAATACAATCTCGTTAGGTATGACGGGAATACATTATATTCTTTAGAGAATGATAAAGTAGAAGTAATATATGTTCATAAGATAGGTCGCTCTTCATGATAGATTACATCCCTAATAACAACATAGGTAACATGTTAGGCATACAAATACGATGGGGTATTAATTGCCTAACTCTTCTCTTGTAGATGTTTTTCACTTGCTTTAGACAAGGTACATCATCTTACACGAGCCAACCAAAAAGAAGAAATAATCTCTACTTCAATATTTGAAGAAAACAGGTAGAAAAAGGAGCTTCAAGATAACATAACTATAGAAACTAAGAACTCCAATTTATGGGTAATTTATTATTGCAGCCTTCCCTTCGACCTTCATTATAATAAATATTTGTGAGCCCAAAGCTCATGTTTAAATGTCATGACGAAGCTTGTACGTTTGGATATCTTAATTAGTTGAATGTTATTTTTAATGCTATTATATTAGTTAGGTTAGTTTAGGGTTTACTTAGTATTATAATCTCTTACTTATACATTTTAGAGTCTAGTTTTTGGAGATGGGTAATACACCTGCAATCTCTTTGTTCCGGACATAAACTTCAATGATACAAATCAATTAATTAATTTTTATTCATTAACTAAAGGTTACTCCACTATAATTCAAGAATTGCACTCTTATATACTATCTATTAATATAATAATACATGCAAGTCGACTATTTATGAATTTTTTTCTATAGTTACAACTAGGTAAATAGTTCGTCTTACTCATGTCATTGAATGTTATACCTTAAGTATGGACAATATGTTTATGATTCAACCCTAAACTAAATTTCTCTCAAACCAATGAAAGGGCGATACCCCATTATTTAAGTCTCAATTCTTACTCGTTAAAGTAACGTCGAGTATCAATTCTCGAGTCACGTCTCTTCCTCCCTCCATCCTTTAATTAATCGTGAGGGTTAGGCAAAGGTGTCTAAGTCATACCAATCCTCAACAAAAAGATCAACAACCAACATTAAGTACTCTTGTAACCAAAATTAGAAATTGAAATGAATTCACAAAGCTAGGTACAAGTACAATTTAGTCAAAATAAATAAAGAAAGACAAAAAAAAAAGAAAAAAAAAAAGTGGTGCACCACTTGGCTAATCACAATGGAATCCAAGGGCAGTATCGTACTTTCACTCCTCTCCTCGGTCCCATCGACAACTCCATTATTTCCACAAACACAGAGCGCCAGAGAAATAGAAAGTGAAGAAAACACTTTCCTCTGTGCATTAGAGAGAGAAAGAGAGAGAGAGAGAAAGTTTTTCCACTTTGCTTCCACTCCTTTCTTTATCCTCTCTCTCTCTCTCTCTCTCTCTTCTCTCTCTCTCTCTCTAGATATGTTGAAGGTCCCCTGTAATGTGAGCGACCAAATCCATGTCCTCAACCAATGTAGATTCCTTGCTCCTCCCAGGCCCCTCTTCTCCTCTCGCCGCCGCAACGCCACCGTCCTATCCTCTCCGGTCACCAGACCTCCGGTTCTGGCCGCCGTTGTCTCCGACAGGGGCGGCCTTGGCTCCGAGGCCTGTGTTCAGAGCGGCTCTGGAAGCTTGGCGGATCGCCTCCGCCTTGGAAGCTTAGCCGAAGACGGATTGTCCTATAAGGAGAAATTCATAGTGCGGTGTTACGAGGTTGGAATCAACAAAACCGCCACTGTTGAAACCATTGCCAATCTCTTGCAGGTGCATTATTTGATTCATTGGTACCCTGTGAATTCTCCAGATATATGACATTATATGTGGCTTTTGATTAGCTATCTTGTAAAATTTTACAGCTTTATCCGTTCTGCTGTTTCTTGTTTCTGTCCAAATGAATTTTATACGTGCATGAATTCAAGTATAATAAAATAATCTTTTTATTTGTGTTTTGGAATAAACGGTGAAATCAGAACAGGAAAGAAAAACTTGTTTTATATTTCTAAAATTTCTATATAATTTTGAGAATGTTGTCACGAGAAATAATAAACATAGTTAATGGTAAAATACTGGGATAGAAAGGGCAACGTTATCAAACGGTGTCTAATTGAGGCTTCTTCCCTTGATGTTTTCGAGAAACATAATTGGAAAATTTCAATCGATTTCTTGTCCTGCATGTTCTGAACATATAACGTTAAACCTGTTGTGTCTCCTAGCTTACTTGTTTAACTTTTACCATTGCTTTCTGTAATTCTTAGACTTTTCATGGATGCACGTGTTCCAAACTGACAAAACCTTCTTATCTCTCGCATTTGTATGCTTATGAGATTTCATTCTCAAGTTTAATAACAAAGGTCTCATTCATATATGGACAGAGTTTATTAAGGATTAGCCTTTAAGTAGGATCTTATTTCCTTAATCTCCTTGGATGTGTGTTTTATGCAGGAGGTTGGTTGCAACCATGCTCAGAGTGTTGGATTTTCCACGGATGGTTTTGCCACAACCCCCACCATGAGGAAATTACATCTCATATGGGTAACCGCTCGTATGCACATCGAAATTTACAAATATCCTGCATGGTTAGTCTCTTCTTGCACGGTTACTTTGAACTTTTACTTTCAAGTTCTTCTTGTTTTGTCTTTCTCTAACTTTCTTTTGCTAATTTACATGTTTTTGTTTGGCGTAGGAGTGATGTGGTTGAAATTGAGACATGGTGTCAAGGGGAAGGGAGAATCGGAACTAGGCGTGATTGGATACTAAAAGATTATGCCACTGATGAAGTTATAGGAAGAGCAACAAGGTGAATATAGGCTATTGTTCTATTATTCATTTTACAGAATATTGAAAAGTAAGATCAAGTAGGAGTTACGAATATCCTTCTCATTCCAAAATAATTATGCATGAACTGCTCTCCTATTTGTTTTTCGGGATTATTTATTCTTTGGACTGTTACTTTCTAGGATTTTACTGGTTATTTTTATTGAAAATGCAATCTGTTGCATGCCTAAAAATTTTGGTTCATGTTCATAGTTCTTCAGGATGAAAGTGTGCAACTAGAAAGTGAAAACTACTCTGTTGTACCTATTTACTATTTTAGGAATAAAATTTCATGTCAAGTGCTGTTGGAGAATTCTAACCTTATACCATCCTCACAAATTTGGAAATATATGTACTTAAGCTCCTAATGCGGCGGTTTGCTTCAAAGTCCTCCAGTCTAGATTTTAGCACTACCAAATCCTTGATGTTTATCATTTTTGTTGTACTTCTTGTCCAAGTTTGTAATTTTGGTTCATTACCGGGGTATGTTTCTATAGTTCATTATGTCTTCTCTTATTTCCAATATTTTCACTACTTTAATAACTTCTCTAAACTTCATGCTAATAGAGACACACTTGATGTTTTCCTTTCTTGGCCTCCTAGTACTAAAATTTTTATCATATAATTTAGAATCTAGAGTGTGAATTACAAATGCCTACCAGTAGTTGGTCTTTCAACATTCTATAATTAGATCTAAATTTCACTATTTTGGCTCCAAATTCATGTCTGTGGAGAGAAATTTGTCCTCAAGATGAAAAATAGAAGTCTTGTCGAAACGTTGGAATGTCAATATAAATGACTGAACTCAGAGGATAGCTTAGGCCTATGTCCCAAGTACAGCCGAAGAGGAAAGTAAATTGTATGGGCACTTTTTTGGTGTTTGGAATGGAGGAGAGAGCAGGGGAGGAAGAAAGAAACGTTGTAATAAACCTATTCCCCAACAGAGAGGAAAAAAGATAGAAAGACAAACTTGAGGGTTTGAGTTCCCAAGCTAATAATTAACTCTTCAGATCCTTTCACTCACATGACCACTAAGTTCACTTTTTCGTTATTCTATGTAATTTGTCTCTTATTTCTATATGTGCAGAATTATTGGGCCTTAAATTGTCTGCGCCAGTTGGTCCTGTTGAAATAGTATTCCAATTATATTTTTTCCATTAGTTATTTTCTGTATTTTCTTCTCTTAATGTCCAAGATCTATGTCGTAATGCCATTTTAGTGTAGTGTGGTTAGAGGTTTATAAAGATGCTCCCTAGGTTTAGCCGCGATATATCTTAACAATTGCAATCCGAGGCAAGAAAAACTTGAATATTTTGGAATTTCCAGCTTGACTTTCTTTTTTTCTTTATAAGAAACTATGCTCTCATCGAGTAGAAATGAAAGAATATACAAGGTGCATACAAAAAACAAACCTGTCTAAAGGGGAATATAAGAACAGGCCTCAATCCAAAAGAAAAACGCCTAATTGATAATTATAAAAGGCCTTAGAAACCGACACTCAAAGAGAGGTATTAAAACCAACCAGCTCCTAAATATCCTCCCAAGACCTGTCAACTCCCTTAAAAGTTTTGCTAGTGATATTCCTCTCAATTCAAATATCCCACAAAATGGCCAAAAATCCAGCTTGTCATGACGGGATTCTTCTATCTTGAAAAGGCGGGAACACCACTTCATGGATCCAGATACCCCTTTCTTCATTTTCTGAGTCAAATTCTCAGCCTCCCTCATTTTCCAACATCATCTGCCATCTACATTCGGCTCAACAACACATCATGGAGATCACACGACCATGTGAAACATTTACCTCTTGGACAACATTGTATTGCATGGCTCTTCTTATCCCATGACCATATCGTGTATCCTCAATGGACATGACAGTTCACTCCATGCCTTGCATTCAACTAGCTTGCTATAGCTTATTCAGCCAAATGCACCATCCTCACTTGTAGACTCTTCTCTAGTGAATAACCAACCATCTTCACAAGCCCTAGTTCATCTCAAACTCTCTTTAAGAGCTTCATCTTTATATTACTCTATTAGATTACTCTTTAATCTAATAAGGAATTCATGCAATATTCTAAGCAGAGTAGTAGAGTGTAAATTATAAATGTCTGAAGTATCTTTACGGTTTATCTCTGAACGTTCTATTGTAGTATTTTTAAATCTAAACTCGCCATCTTGCCTCCAAATTAAAATTTCAGAGATGATTTTTTCCTGGAAATGAAAAATAAAAGTCATGCTGGAATATGGGTTCGTGGACATAAATGATTGGATTCAGAGAAATTCTTAAGCCTACATTTGCAACCTCAATTTTGTACAGTGGACAGCTGCCAATCTAAACTTTCTTATCCCTTAAATTTCCTCTTCTGCGGAATTGCTTTTTTCTTTGTCACTTCTACTATTCTGCATCTCTCCAAGCTGAGTGCAACTATCCTCATTTATTTTTCTTCTTAGTCTGTCATTTTATGCATCACATCTCATTCTTTGTGTTGTACCTGATTCCTTGCTTCTTAAACTTTTAGCAAGTGGGTAACGATGAACCAAGACACTCGACGACTTCAGAAAGTTAGTGATGATATTCGTGATGAATATTTGGTTTATTGTCCCCGAGAGCTCAGGTAGGTGCCTCTTCTCCCCAGTGAACTAAAATTTTAATTTGCACTGAAGATAATATTATTGTTCAGTAAGCATTACTATTCAGGTCTGTCTTCGCAGCATAACATGGTCAGATCATGTTAGCCTACTGCTAATTACTCTTTTTTTCTAAAATGATTGGTTTTGAGCTTGTTAAGCCATGATTATTAATTTATTAGTGCAATACTTTTCAAATACCTTTCCAACTAAAATTAGTAATACAGGCTCCATTAGGTAGCAATTTTATTTTTTGTTTTTCTGTTTCTAAAATGTTGTTGGCTTTCTCACAGTTATTATTGTTATTTTTTTATTATTATTTTCACATTTCCTAAAAACACATTTGAATTCTTAGCTAAATTTCAAAAATAAAAACAAGTTTTAAAATCTCCTTTGTTTAGTTTTTAAAATTTGACTTGGATTTTAAAAACAACAACAAAACAAAGAAACATATAGGTGGAAGCAGTCTTTATAAGCTTAATTTTAGAAAAGAGAGCCAAAAACAAAAAAGTGATCAAGCAGTATGATAGTAATTTGCTTTCTATCTCCTTTGGTACAGATTAGCATTTCCTGAGGAGAACAGTAGTAGCGTGAGGAAAATTCCAAAACTGGAAGACCCTGGTCACTATTCCAGACTGGGACTAATGGTATGATTTAAGAACATTCCGTTCAAGCTTTTCCACTTATTCCAGGTACTGAAAGTACTTTCTATTTCAGCCAAGGAGAGCAGATTTGGACATGAATCAACATGTCAATAACGTCACCTACATTGGATGGGTTCTGGAGGTTCGTACGCTCGTTCCTATTTTCTCAATTTCTTTTTCTTGCATGCTGCAATGAAAATATGGGCCCCAAAGATTCTGGCCCTTTCCTGCAGGAATCCTTAAATGCTACAATGTTGAGGAGCATAGTTTTTCTGGGGAAAAAAAAAAATTATGGCCATAAAATATAAGGTTGCATGGTCCTTGATAGGACGAAGTCTACTGTTAACTATCCTAAGTAACTCTATTAGGAGGATGTTAACAGTCAAGCTTATATTTCTTTGAGTTTTTCAGAAGAATGTGTCCCAAATAACCAATGTGTTAAGAAAACAAAAATAATAATAACAACCAGACACTCATTTTCATGTGTTGCACACGTGTCTGGTACAAGTCTAAGCATGTGCGTGTCGGACACGAGTCCAGCAAGTGTCTGAACGTATCCATGTCGGGTGCATGCCTAGAACTGTCTGCATGCACCAGACATGTGTCCAAGCATGTCTGTCTTGGACACTTGACACTCTACTTCTAAGAGTGTCCATACTTTCTAGAAAAATAAAGGAAGAAATGAGCTCAACTGGTGAAGACATGTGTTGCCATCAAAAGGTCATGTGTTTGACTCCACCTCCGCATGATTTGTACTTAAAAAAAAAAAGAGGAAAAAAGAAGAAATGAAAATAGTTGTAGGAAGGAGAAGGCAGAGTGAAAAGTGCAAGTGATTTGTAGACTCAAAGCTGTTTGTTAGACATTGAGAATGTAATGGCACCAAATAATTTTGGTGATATCATTAGATCGCCTTTGCTATATTCTGAATATCAAGATATAATGATATCATTATATCATTATTCTATGACAGAGTATGCCTCAAGAAATCATCAGTAGCCATGAACTACAGACAATCACATTAGACTACAGACGAGAGTGCCAACAAGGCGATGTCGTGGATTCCCTTACGAGCGTGGAGGAAGTCGAGAATGGTCGTGAAGCAGTCTCAGAGCTGAATGGAACAAATGGTTACATTTCCAGTGGCAACCAAGATAGCCGCCAGTTTCTGCATCTACTAAGGTTGTCAAATGATGGACTCGAAATCAACCGAGGGCGCACCAAGTGGAGAAAGAAACAACAGAGATGAGGGTGATAGTTTGATGATCTATATGTTTCACTATTTGGGATAATTTTTGCTTTCATTTGTTTTCGCGTTATCATTTTCGTCGTTTCAAATTTTGGTTGAGTTTCTTCTGTCAATTGTTGGTACTAAAACTGTTAGTGTGGAGTCTAGAATCAGTCCTTTAGAGTCAGCAAGTTGAATATATGTACTTTTAGTAGGATCAAGAACTAAAAGCATAACTTATTTTTATTACCTTTAAAAAGTTTCATTTGTGTTGTGATGTGGAAATTTGTTAGCAGGCAATAAGAACCAAGAATCGTCAACCTTTCTGGCTTGTTCCTTTCTTGGCTGAATCTTTAATCCTAGCAGTTTAATTAATGTCATATCTTTGTTAAAACTATAGGAATGAAATTGAAACCATGCCTAAACTATAGGGAAGGGACCAAATTATTGGGTATTCTAATTTAAATTAACAGCACACACAAATCCGTCTAGAGAAAACAACACACTTGTTTGTAGTATTTCGATCTTCCACTCACGATAACAACACAACATTCCCATTCCATTATCTTCCACCTAGACAATCTTGGTCTTTCAACGCCGTCACCTACGTCCAAAATCTTTGTCCCCTGACCTTCGTCTCAGGGGACTTTTTCTTATGGTCTTCTCTGACAAATTTCTTCATGCAGGTCCTTCCATCTCTCACATATGAGATTTTAGGTATGAATTAATTTATTTTCTTTCAAATATGAGATGTTCTTGTTCCCCTCCTCCATCGTCTAACACTTTGGTCGAAACTTTGTTCTTTTTCTTTTCAGATCTTGCAAACTTGTGTTTCAGAAGAGGTAAAAAAAATAAAGTTCGGTTAACCGACTGAAATCGACCGACATTTCGTTAGTCGACGAGAAGAATGAAAATAGGTTGGTCTGTTTCAATTTTTGGAAACCAACAATATGTCGGTGGGCGGGAATTTTGACTGAAAATTGACCTGGTCGACCGATTTACAACCCTAATATCATCGTAGCAAAAGTAGTAGACAATAGGGGAGTGACCAAGCCTTCCACAAACTTGACAAGTAATCATGTTATTGCTTCTCTGCCAATTTCCCCTACCTATATGTCCTCTGCCTCTACCATATCCTCGTTGATTTCAACTTGGATTGTTGGTATTTATATTGAAAGCGTAGTTAGCAGATGCATTAGACAGATCTGAATTGTTGCTTACCAAATTAAGACGGAAGAGTGTGTTCTCAAATGTTATGAGAGTGGCATGGAGCTCCTGCCAAGTTATTTCTTCCTTTCCATTTATCTAGCAAGCAAACTGGGAGGTACTCTACGTCAAGACCAGCCAAGACACTCGACATCAGAGAGCTTTCACTAATCGATTCTTCTACAAGAGCAAGACCATCAGCAATTTGTTTTATTGAGGTTAAGTAGTCACTCATCTTGAGTTCGCTTTTCCTTGTTGATTGAAGGCTTCTTTTCAATTGGTTTATGCGTGGCTTGCTTGCCGCTTCAAAGGGATCTTCTAATATCTTCTAAACATCTCTCGAACTGGAAAGATTTAGAATGTCACCAGCTATAGAGGGAGTCATCGAACTATATAACCAAGCCAATAGTGACTGATTTGTTCTTGCCCATGTTTCATAGGCTAGATTTTAAGTCAACATCCCTACGCTTGTGCCAATTTCTTCAGCAACTTGAATGAGGACGGCAGGTTGGACAGTTGTTCCCACGACATGACTTTCTATTTTTTTGCCACGAAGCACCATCGACTTCCATAGGAGACAATTTCTCTCATCAAGTTTCGCAACGGGTGTTGTGGTTCGTTGGGTCGTGGTGTATGTTGTGGAAGATGAACCTTGGGGCTATGGTAGCGTGAGCTTACTAGCTCTGATACTATGTTAAGAATGAATAAATCACCACTAAACTCAAAAACTTAAACTAATGAGCTGGATAAATTTAATTCATATATAGATATTTCAACCCTCCACTTCACTTGTGGTCTTGAATAATTGCACAAGTCCCAACAAATAGAAATCATGACACGTAACAACAATATTGGGGTCAAACACAGGACCCTTGACTCTAATACTAAGAGAAGATATTGATAAGAATAAGAAAATATACGTATTGATAATAAGACTCTCAACGATTTGAGTCATCCAACAAATTCACTTTTATATAGAATAATTTCCAGCCCAATATTGACAAAGAAACTAAGCAAGGAATGTTTATAATAGGAATGATTTGAGCTGAAGAGAATAATTATAATGGCAATCAATTCATGAAATCATGTTCTAGCATTTGATATATGTACTTAACATGATAATTTGTGACTTGAATGATCTATTGTCAAAGATTCATTAAGAAATTCAAAATCCTCTACAAATTTTCATGATATGATATCAGTAATGTTTCTCAAAATATTCCGTCAATATTTTGGAACCAACATGTCTGTCAAGAAAAGAGTGTACGGAAATAACAAAAGAATCTATTATTTCGGCCAATAATGAAGCATAACTAGGAAAAGAAATAAAGATATTACAGAAAATACCCCCAAAAACACNCCCCCAAAAACACAAAAAAAAAAAGAAAAAAAAGAAAAAAAAAGATGAAGATGAATGAAAAACAAATTTATATATAATAAATACAAAAACAAACAGCACACTGAGTTCAGAAACAGAGCTTCGTGGGGTGCTTGGAATTGTTCCCTAAATCACACATTATTTTCTCAGCCATGGAAAGCAGCATCCCTGCAAAATCAGACAAATAATATTTTAATTCATGTTTGAATAATAACATTAAATTTTGAATTATTTGTTGCTTTATTTACACTTAAACTTTAGATTTCTTTCAAAATTACGGTGCCATCAACTTTTCCGTTAAAATGACGACGGAATGACTTTTAAAATAGTGGTACACGTGGCATAGGTGGTAGTTTCAGTTATGCCCTTAGATTTTATGGTGGGTTTCAAAGTCACATTCAAATTGTCTCCAAAGGAGAGAGAATAGATTTAGGAGATAGAATTCTAGTCGAAATGATGAGAGAAACCACATATTGTGAGAAAAGTCATGTATCGGTCAAAATTACAATCTCTTAGACTCAAACACTGGAAAAATCGAAGGAGAGAGAAGTCAAGAAAGAAAGTTTCATAATTCATGAGTGAAAGTGTAGGGTCTTTGGAATCTAGGAGACAACAAAGAAAAAGACTTCCCGAAAAATGAAGATAATTTTCATCTTCAAAGGTAAGAAATTTAACCAAAAAAAAAAGTTTATAGGTGTGATTTTCATCTTAAATTTCTTTATTTCTCTCTTCCAATCTGCTCGTCCATCCTAGCGGTTTACTTATCCTAAAAAAGAACTTTTGTTTTCCTCCCTCTTTTGATCTTGAGGGGAAGAAACAATATTAATTTTATCCTAATCCCTAAATTTATTCCTTTGTCTCCAAATTATATAATATTATTTCAAAGATTTTGATATTCTTTTTCCTACGGTTCATCACGACGTCATATTTCCATCTTTATTTTAAGTAGGGAAGCTAATGAAATGTTGTTTCGAAACAATTTCAATGGTTAAGATTAAAAATGAAACTTCTTAAATGATAATGGTATAATTGAAACGTATCATAAGTTCAGGAGCATAAATGAAACTTGAAGTCTTTGTTATGTATGCTATTATTTTACAAGTTGTCGGAATGTCACCTTTCCGTAAGAGTAGTTTTAAAACAAGTTTAAAGTTTAAAGGTAAAAATGAAATTTTTTAAAGCACAATGATATTATCGAAACTTATTCTCATTTTCGTATAATTCAACTGAGATTGAAACAAGAAGTTAGAACGTTGATTATTATGCTCCATCTATCGAACAATAAAAGGAAAGAAATTGAAGAACAGAGCAAAATGAGAGAGAGGTGAGTTTACCTTAGCATTGTGGTCGGTTTTTTGGTTATGAACATTGTTGTAAGGTGAAGAAGAATGCACAACAGGTGGTGTTCCAGGGCCTATCCTTTCCTCTCGAACTTTCCCGAAAATGTGCGTAAAACCGTCGGCCGATGCCGGATTATTCACATCCCACGMCCCGAACTTCGGCACCGCCGTCCCTTCTGGCTGAACCATGTTAAAGATCCAAGATAAGAGACTTAACTTAATAAAGGTTCATAATATACATGACAATTCTTCTCTCATTGATTTTTAAATGAAGCCTTGTGAATATTGATACAAAAAATTTCATTATTCGAAAACGAAAAAGGAAAAAAAAAGTTTACAAAACGTACAAGTTCCTAACATGTGTTGAATAGATTCTTAAGAGTGGTTAAAAGCTTTCCATTTTATATGACAAGATATATTAGACACAAAATTAAAACTTGAGAATTTATTAGATATTTTAAGAATCAAACCTGTAATTGAATCTAAATTTTTAGCATATTATTTCATTTTTTGTCTCTAAAATTCTAAACTAGGAAATTATAGGGTAGGTACGAGCTGTCATAGTTGCAAATATGACAATTTATCTTTCCTATATCACTAATATGTCATTTTTAGTACGATGTTTGGGTGTTTTTTCAATTTTTCTCTAGGGAATATGTGAAAGTTTAGAAAGTTTCAATTTAGTCTCTCATTATTGATAATTGAGTGAGGATGAACTTTACACCACGTAATAACGAAAATTTAGAGGAAAATGAAGGTCTCATAATTTCTACCAATATTTAGAAGTTTAAAGGAATAATTAAAAACTTTCGTCTCTTAGATCATCTTTATTTCTCTATTAAAATTTTATTCTATAGACATACAGTTCAACTAGACAAGACATCGAAATAAGTCGTTCAAAAAATAAAAGGTAAGAAACTTAAGACTTACAGCATCATCGCGTAAAACCGGCTTCATTCTAGTCTTCCCACGATTGCCATGGCCCCCATCGAGGCTCTTGCCCTCCGCGACTGGGCTTTCTCGACCGGTAGGTTTTGCATGACGGTGGAGAGGAGAGCGGTCAATGCTGTACTCAGAGCCACTCTGTCTCCGGCCAGGATTCTCACGGTGGCCGGGGGAGTTGGCGTAGGGTTGTCGGGAGGCACCATCTTCCCGGCTCCGTCTCCTCTCATGAGCTGTAGGTGTAGGTTTAAGTGTTTGAGGGTCATCTTTAGGCATGGGCATGGAAGGAGGAGGCTCATGGGAATGTGAGTTGTCGGAGAACACGTCGGGATACTCTTCGGGATCGTTCGGGTTTCTGATTGGCCCGCCGCCTCGGCCTTTTCTGGCCTTGTCGAAGAACACTGTGTATGGAACATTCCCTTCGTTTTCCCAGTTACCAAACGGTGGTACATGTGACCGTTGCTGCTGCTGTTGCCCCAACAAAATATACATTCTTTCATCAAAAAAACTTCCCAAACTTAAATCAACTGATAACAATATACATATATAAGATTAAAGTTTTTGGATGTAACATTAATTTATTATGCCATATAAGATTGAAGTTTTATATTGGAAAAAAAGAAAAAAAGGTTCCAACTTAAATTTTGGGTTTAATTTTTAAGCTGCTAAAAATGAGTATAAAATCAAAGATCAGATATCCCATAATTTCTTTTTAAGCTTTTGGCCTTTGACTACAACCAAAACTTAACATGAATCACTGTAGACATTTCTATCACCTCAATGGTATTAGATACTATTCTCTGATGATTTTTTGTTTTGTATATTTCCGTACCTAATTAGAGTAAGAGATTCTTTGTTCGAATTTTTATTATATCATTTCTTCATCGATCAATATTGATAATTATTTGTTGTATTTTATGTTAATTTTGAAATCCAAAGTAAACTAAATACAGGGTTAATTACTATTTTGGGATTTATATAAAATGACAGGTAAAGTTCAAAACTAATAATAAAAATAGTTCAGGCCTATTATAGATCTTTTTAGGAACGCTTTTCTAACACCATAAAGTGGAAGCTTTTCTAGTTTAACAGGCAGATCAATTAAACAAGAAATTAAAAGTGATTTGAAGGTTTGCTTGCCATGTTAAAAACAGAAGTCAAAAGAAAACAGAGAAACTTCATCTTGAAACAGAGGACGAGAAATCAAAAAGAAGACAGATTTTTCAGACTGCCCAAAACACAAACTTTACAGATCTGACGACCGCCGCTCAACAACACAAATAAGTAGCACGATAATGGGATTCTAATTTGATTTTCTCTTGTGTTTCCTGGCGGTTTTCTCGGCAACCAAACAAACAAACAGAAAGAAAATGGAGGAACAGAAACTTACCGCCATTGATGAAGTGTAGCCACCAAATTACAGCTTGGGGTTTGGTTTCTTGAATCAAAAATTAAGGGTGTGGGGGAAGAAAAGAAATCCACCTTGGAAATCTCACAGAAGTTGTAGAGAGAGAAATGGATTTTTAGAGAGAGAGAGAGAGAGTTTTGGGCGCCACCGGTAATGGTTTGACCATTCTTCCTTTTGCCGTTTTGTTTGGAAAAGTCTTCGTTTCTTCTCCAACCAACGTGTCTTTTACCCGGTCGCCAAGTTTGATATTGACACCGCCCGTTTTACTACTTCCACCCCGCTTGACTACTTACTCTACTACTCTACTCGCTCCTTCCCCCGCGTGGACCAAGTAATTTTGACCTCGCCTCCAAATTAAAATCCTCCAGACAGTAGAATAAGTGCTTTAAAAAAAATTTATTTAAGTATTTTATTAAAATCATCGATGCTTTAAAAATTAATTTAAAATTATTATAGAATTTTCTAAAATCAATTTTTAATTGACATGAAAACATGACTCATGGAAATGAAGTGATTTTGACCATGCCAAAATCACTCTAAAATTTTTTTTTTTTTTTACTTAATTATGCGAGGTGAGATCCGCATGAGTTGAGCGAAGCGAGTTGGACAAGAAGACCTACACGCAAATAACAAACCTCAAGTTCGTCTAAAGTTTGAATCTCTAGATCGATTTCAGACATAATTGCATACTTCGTTGAGTAGGTGGAAATTTGTCTGTTACGACGATTGTTAGTGTGTTACTAAGGTTGTTGAATTGTTATCAATCGTACGATGAAACTATCAAATTATTATCTTGGGCAAGACGAGCTAAGAGCTTTATTGAGACTCCAAGTCATAGGCACCGAGCTCTGTAGGTCAGCGTCGTGAGGTCGATAGTGAATCTTAGTTCTCGATCTACGATCTACATGTGGCATTATGTGATTTTACCTTGCGAAGTGGGACATTCGAAGAAATTTATTGTTAATTTGATCCTTGGTTTAATCATTCAACTCAACTGAAAAACACTAATTACGTACGTGAACTTTTAATTTCAATTTTAACCAAGTTTAATATCCTTCATTAAATATTGACACAATATGTATGGTAGGAGAATAAATCATATGGGATCAAATAAGGAACATATCAAATGTCCTAATTTCAAATCCAATTTTGCTGGGCCACCTAATCTTATTTTATTTACCTGACCTGACTTACTCGCTAGTACCCCGTCATGTTAGAATATTACTTATTAATCTAATCAACATGTCATATCAATTTTTAAGTACTAGAATTATCTATAGAAGCTTGTTAAAAATAAAAGTCAAAAGTGGTAGAATCTAACAAAAACTTTATGAACTACAATATACAAATTAATTGAAATTTAATAGTAAAATAGTGACCAATATGAATATATAGGTCAATAGTAAAGACATATAACGTCATTCTCTTTTAAGTTGGAAGTTCAAAACTTCACTCCTTTCCTTTGTTGTAATAAACTAAAATATTGGATGCAGATAACATAAAGGAGTTTCTTGTCTAAAAAGGTTATAAACTTTGCAATTTTATTAATGTCTACTATCAAGTTTTCAATATTTATCCAATTCAAATGTCTAATTCGATAATGTTGATGCCGATTTCTAGACTAGTGTCATGTAAGTGCATAGGGATTGCCACGTATGTCTTCATCTCCTAGCTTAGAGTTTACCGGCCTACGCACAGAAATCTAGAATCGGTGTAGTGCTTTGTCGAATGCACTCCAATATGCTTGAGTTGAGACTTAAAATGGAAGCAAACGAGTATGAAATAAGTATAGTAAAGATGCAGAAATCTCAAGAAGAATCCGCTTGAGAGTACTATGTGCAAAATTCACATAAGGGTTCGCATATGAATTTTTGGTTAGAGAGCCAGAGAGATAGACAGAGAGAATAGGATCGTACTAGCTAGTACTGGTTGTGGGGACCACCGACACTCTCATTCCCTCTGTGTAATGTAGAAAGGCGCAGCGACGTCTTAGACAATTCTCTAGAGTGTATCACGATTTAGATATAGGGCATTAGTGCTTCCTTTACTAGAAGATGTCTCTCGTACAACCGTCCAAGTAAGTTCAGCCTTTTGATTTGGTGTGCTCGGGTTGTGACTACGCACACTTGGCTTTCTCTATCTTGCATGTCATGAGTGTCATTCACGTGGTTCGATTGCGTTTACCCGATAACAGATAAAATAAAAAAATATAGGGTAAAAATGAAATATGGAAAAGCTAACCGTTTGACAGAGTTGAATGTTAATTAACGGTGACTGTTGAAGGCGGCTGAAGAATAAAAGCTCCATAAATTCCCAATGGTCATTCTGTCGAAAATTAAATGCTATTTTATTTTATTGTGATGTGATGTGGACCCCAAAGCTGAAACCAATAACGATCCCAATTGTCGACCAATTTTGGCTCGCGCAATTATAATTTTAATTATAATAATTCTTTTTCTTATTTATTAATTTAAAATGACGTGTATAATATTGTTTTTTTATTGTTCTAAGTTTTGAAAGTTTAGCTGTATGGTTGAAATCTATCCTAAAGTTTCAGGGTATTATGTAAACATTAACTTTAATTACTTGCAATTTTATTATTTCTTTGTTTATTTTTATTACTAACATTTTTCTTCTAAGAAAAGTTCTACAACTTTTTATTATTGGTTATGCGATTTTATTATAAAATGTTATATTAATTGATCGATAATTTAATTTTACTATTTCATTATTAATTAGTATCAATAAAATTATTAAAATAGATTTCATTGTTATAAAATGTTATAACAATTAAATTTATTATTCTTTTAAAGAATCTCCAAATGGTTCCATAACAACTAGAAATAAATTATTTGACTAATAGTTTATATTTTTTCATGAATTTCTAAGTTATACATAAATTTATTTATTTATTTTATTGATTTATCTTTAGCTGTATTATAAGTTGACCATGCAACTTGCGTTCATTAAAAACCCAACGTGGGATGAATAATTTCATATTTCGTAAAACTTTTTGAGCCACCAAACCAAACAACTTATTATTATTATTATTATTATTATTATTATTAGTTGATTAATTAATTAATAATAATAATAAGTCAAAATAAAAATGTTGATGGCGGCCGGCAGCCGCACAACTTGCAATGCAAGGGGATCTCGCTTTCAAGTTTCAACACACTTTATTACTTTTCTTAAAATAAAAATTCTATTTTAAACCTTGAATTTAGGGTTAGTTTGACGGAATTATAATTTAAATACTTATAAAAATAATTTTTTCCTTAAAATATTTTTCATAAAAAATAGTGCCAATAAGAATACCTATGTAATTTTTTTTATTTTCTTCTTCGTAACCTCGTGAATCAAGATATTTTTAAAAAATAATGTAATTAAAAAAAAAAAAAAACAAATCTGAGGTAGTTTTGCTTGAAGCTAATTGACAAAAATACGTGGATAAATAGTAGGCATAGATACGATTTCCATAAGTTTAAACATTAACCATATTTAAAATAAATAAAAAACCATGAATAAGGGAAATGAAAAGATTTAGGAAAAAAAAAATTATTCACAACATCATATTGAGATGAGATGATAATATCTCCGATACCGTCAAAATTATATTATTCTTACTCCATAAAAACATCTGGTATCTGATTTTTAAAGATATATATACACAAAAATTAGAGAAATCATTGCTCCCATTTTCAACCATACACTAAAATAAAAATCAAAGAAGATAACCTTATAGAATATCAACATTGGCATTAAACAGAAAAAACTATGAAATGCCATTGAAGAATATTAACAATATCTACTTGTTTGCATCCCTAAACTAACACAATCAGAGAAATCATTATACAATACATCACTGAGAAGCATCCTTAAATTACAAGGAAAACTAAATAAAAGAAGAAATAAGTGACTAAACCAACCTAAAATCACCATGATAAAACTGCTTGCTAGTTTTGCTTTGATTTTGCCACAAAAGTCAAGTACTTCTTCTGTTCCTGCTTGTATCTCTTCCATTCTCTCAGTGCAGCTAAAATCACATGCAAAGCAACTGGCAAGAAGAAAGGCTGTCTCCAAACAAAAGCCGGCATTAAAACTAAAGCCATTTTTCTTTTATCCTCAAAATCTGTTGGTTATTTTCGAATCAAAATCCTAACTTCCCATGTGGTTATAAACTGCACAAAGATTGGTGTTTATAAAACCATACAGCTTTTTCTGCAGTGTATTGTGAAGTATATTTATCTCAGCAAATCAATGCTATTCTTGTGATTTAATAACCTGCTGTGAAAAACTCTCTCCTAGCAATAATATGATGGTTAAATGCCTCTAAAGTTTGAGACGAAATTAAACCTTTTTAAAGTTTAGAAACTAAAATGACATGATTCTCATGCTCAAACTAGATTGGACTAAATTTATAATTTAACCAAACATACATAATACAAATATATTATAAACACAAGTGCATAGGCGATGATCATCATCATACCGAGTAGACAGCAAAGCAGTGCTCAAATGAATAATAGCTGACTGACATTATTGATGGGTGAAAAAATGCATCCTCTGCCAGTGATCGTGCTTGCCTGGAAGAGACTGATAAAGAAGAGGAACTCAGTTCAGGATTTTAATTGATTTATTCAAAGTCGGTAAGCAAATTCTCAAATTGAGCTTCAGATATAGAGATTAGAGAAGGATCATACTAGCTGCAGCATCAAAAATTCCCAGAGAGGCATTTCGTTGGGCTAAGTTTGCAGCCTCAAGAGAATATTTTACCTGATTGAGACAAGCAGGAAGTAAAACCTTGTGTTAAACCACAAAAGATACTGCAAGTAGAATAAAAAACACTGTCTATATT